CTCTTACCAGTTGTATACTGTAACATTACAACTTCAATTCATTCATGGTAACATTGTAAATATTATAATCTAGCTGTTGTTATTATTTGTAATTTTCCTCTGATACATTCTGTTCTTGGTATGAATACCCATGTATTTTAGATATAACTTAATAATTCTCTAGATAGTACTTTTATCTGTGGAAAGAATAAAAACCCCACTGAATATAGGTGACTAATTAGGAAGTCATTAGTTAATCAGGGTGCATGTTATAACCTTTCTGACACAATGTTGCACAGCATTTTAGGAATCTAATTTTTCAATTCGCTGCATGTTGTCAGCTCTTAGGCAAGTCTGAGGCTGTCAGCCCTCACTGGAGAACTCACGGGGAACCCTACTGCAGGAGACCAGAATGCTTCCGAATTGTCTGTAGTGGTGAGCAGAAATGAAACTTAGGAAGTGCTTCTCTCTGCAAATCTAATGTGGATTAGGTATGTGAATTGTACCTACTTTGGGATTTTTTCTTGTAAAATTATAGTTGCACGTACAAAATACTGTAGCGTGCAGGAAGCCGGTGTGGCAGGCATATACACTGCATTCCAGTGAAGGGGGGAAAGAACTCGAAGATCTCAGACCATTCAGATCAGCTGGACTCTGTTGTGACAACAGCAAAGAAAAGAAGCCTTCAGGAACAGACACTTAAAAAGTCATGTGTAGCTTTTCATAAAAGGGAGAAGGCAGAGCTTTCTTATTTTCTATTTTAAATTAGTGTAAAGCACATTTTAAATGAGGCTTGGTCTTGTAAGGTGCCATTCGTTATTGACTCTCTAAGAGAGGCGGTACCTGTACCCTTAAAAAGGTATTTGTTATTTTTTTCTCAGTGCTGGATTAAACCTCAGAAATGATGCAAAAGAAATAGTCCTGGACTTTCAGAACTCAAAACTAATGTGTTAATAAATTAGAATAACAAGAAAAATATATGTCTGTTTCATAAACCTTAATAATCAGTTGTTTAGCTGTGAATACTATCTTGTTTGTATTCAATAAGGAAAATATTTTTGTTTGTATTAGAATAGTTGAACAGCTGTCATTGTCTAGTTTATTTGTTCTATAAAGAAAGGCAGGATATTGTCATAGATCTCTCTTAGTTCTCCTGTATATTCATTAACTTCTTCACTAGGTGATGAAGTTACTATACACGGCAGAGCCCCCTGCCGTTACAAAGGCGCTCTGAAATACCAAGAGAGTCTTTCTATGTTTTGCTATGCCTGGACCTTCTCAGTTAAGATGAAAAAAAATCCGAAAATAATCTCAAGGTCCTGGTTGCATGGATTTGGTCTTGATTCAGGAATGAAATCTGGATGTCCTGCCTACATAGAACACATTTGTGCTTCTGGCAACAGTCACAGTTTATATAAAAAATAATCCTGTCTTGCCTTCGTGTATCTCTGCAGAAAGACCTCTGCTGGTAATGGATTGCTGTAGGTTAAAAACAAGATGCAGAGAGAGATGGGAAACAAAACCCACCCTCTGAGACGTAACTTAAATACTAAGACGAAAAGGAAAAGGGCAAATCAGCCAATTCAGTAACTCTATTCACGCAGAAACCACAACACACACTTGGGGGAGCCCAAGATGCTCACAAGTACAGAAGAGTGTGTTCTCATGCCCTGCGTGGGAACTGGGCTCAAGACAGAGAATCAAGGAAGAGGAAGGACAGAAAAAAATCAATAGGTTGCACTGTCACAGGAAAGGATATTGCAAATGACAAGATGTTTGATTCTTTCTTCATCATACAATACTGGTAGTAAGGATGGAGAGGGCTGGCATGACAAACTGGGAATCTGAAGGATACTTTCTACGGCATAAATGTAATTTACCTCTCAGAAATTCAGGCCCTGCTGAGATAGCAGAGGTCCAGTGCTTTTCCTGTTGCTTTGGTCCTGGTAGTGGTAGTGGTATGGTAGTAGCACACTGCTGTCTGACAACACTGACTGTGGTCTTCGGGAAAAGAAATTTGTGTTTGAGACTGCAGTTTCAAACTGCAGTCTCAAACCAAAGCAGATGGTTTCATAGTTGAGACATTGGGCATAGAATCAGGAAAACTAGGTCAAGCAAAACTGTATACCTGTATATCTTACATTTATCTATAAGAGACAAAGTTAATACTTACTTATGCTCATTGTAACTTACAGCATCTAGATACCCACAGCATCTAGAAAACCACTCATAGAATCATAGAATCATTAAGGTTGGAAAAGACCTCTAAGATCATCGAGTCCAACCGTCAACCCAACACCACCATGCCACTAAACCACATCCCTAAGTGCTGCATCTACATGTCTTCCAGGGATGGTGACTCAACCACTTCCCTGGGCAGTCTGTTCCAAGGTTTAACCACTCTTTCAGTAAAGAAATTTTTCCTCACATCCAATCTAAACCTCCCCTGGCGCAACTTGAGGCCATTTCCTCTCGTCCTATCGCTTGTTACTAGGGAGAAGAGACTGACCCCCACGTCGCTACAACCTCCTTTCAGGTAGTTGTAGAGAGCGATGAGGTCTCCCCTCAGCCTCCTTTTCTCCAGGCTAAACAACCCCAGTTCCCTCAGCCGCTCCTCATGAGACTTGTGCTCCAGACCCTTCACTAGCCTCGTTGCCCTTCTCTGGACACGCTCCAGCACCTCGACGTCCATCTTGTAGTGAGGGGCCCAAACCTGAACACAGTATTCGAGGTGCGGCCTCACCAGTGCCGAGTACAGGGGCACGATCACTTCCCTGCTCCTGCTGGCCACACTATTTC